TTATTATTATTATTATTATTATTATTGAGAGAGAGAGTGAGAACACTAGCAGGGTGGAGAGGGGCAGAGGGAGAGGGAGAGAGTCTTAAGCAGGTCCACACCCAGCACGGAGCCCCATGTGGGGCTCCATCTCATGACCTTGAGATCACGATCTGAGCCTAAATCAAGAGTCGAACATTTAACCAACTGTGCCACCCAGACACCCCCAGAAGCTTTTTAAAAATGTTATGTTCAGGGGGATTATAAAGTTATCCTTTTGCTAATGATGTCTAATTTAATTGCCTAGTGGGTGGAGAGCACAGTCTGTTGATTTCATGTCTTCAAAATTTGTTGAAACTTGCACTGTGAGTTAGAACATTGCCAGTTTTTGTTTTGTTCTCTGAGAGCTTTAGGGGGGCGTGCACCTCCAAGTGTCGGGTGCAGAGTTTCACGACACACAGTGCCATGTCTGTGGTGTCCCTCGCGTGTTCTGCATCTTTACTCCAATTTCACTACACTTGTATGGGCTGTTCTGAGAGGTATGTTGGCGTCTCCGCCCAGATGGACAGTGTGTTGACCCGGCCTGGGTTCCCTCCTCAGACTGAATCCCTGGTGATGGGCCCTCATAGCATCTGTGTTCTTCCTCACTGCCCATGGACAGTTACGTTATCTCTGGGCTGGATTATGGCTTAGCCTCCTAAATTTTCTCTGGGCTTTTCCCCTGTACCTCTTCACCTTCAGTCTGTTTTCCACCCCAGAGCCAGATTGTTTGTATTAAAATATCAGGATTTATCATTTTTGTCTGACTTGTGTCTTTTTGTCTCAAAGCCCCCACACAGCTCTGTCTTCCACGGACTCACCTGCCCCCATTCTTGCAGAGGCCTAAACACCCTCCTGAGCTGGTTCCTGGTCTGTTCTCCACACCCACCCCCACCTCCTCTCTCCTCCTCACCCTCTTCTATACTCACGCTCCTGGCAAGAGGAGAGCGTGGAGGAAGCCCAGCAAACAGCAGGTGGGATAGCACTTGGCCTCGTAGTTGTCTGACATTTCAAACCTTCTGGTGAAGCCCCAGCCCTTTACTGAGCTCCGATAACAGTGTGCGCTGCTTATGCCCCATGCACACGTGTGTGAGAGTGTGTGTGCACATGTGTAGTTTGCAGCTGAATGGGCTTCTTTTGTCTCGACTGTGCCAGAAGGGGCAGTGGCATCCCTGGGCACTCATCCTTTGAAGCTGATTTGTTGTGGCGGTCTGTTCAGCAAGACGTTGAAACCATTGCTTCTGTTGTTGCTAAGTGGGTCGTACAGCGAGGGAAGGCCGTGGAGGTGAGGAAAGGAATCATGTCCCTAACTTCATCTCCGTCTCCTTCCCTTCCTAACACCAACTGTGTTTGAAAAGAGAACAGCGGCGTTATTTCCTCTCTGGGATTCTCCTCATAACTCATGTCTAACTCCACAGAATGCTTGGTGTCCCCGGCTCCTGAAACATGCTGGTGATGTTGGAAGAAGTGGGTCATTGCATGAATGGGTCTGTTTGTCACACCACTTTAAAGATTTCGGTCTCATTGTGTTTCCCGCCAGTTTAGTGACATGTCAGGGCTGTATGTGTTAAGTAAACTAGTTCCCTTTAGATGTTTCTAAAATGACATGAATTGCAAATAGAATGTCCTTTGGTTAAAGTTCATTAATTTCTGGTTTTATTGCATTGTTATCAAAGACCGCTGTCTACTGTTCTATTTTATGTAACTTATTGAGATAATAATCCTGCCTGCTAGAATTCTGAGAGCCTCTTGGGAGAGGGGGCAGGAGTTCTCATTGTTCCATTTGTTTTCTCCCGTGTTACACTCCCGTTTTAATTTTGGCATTTCACTGTCTGCAGAACCACTTGTCATTGAGTCTGTATCCTGAATGAGTCACCCTCTGCAGAGGCGAAACCTCCTGTTATCCAGGGAAGAAAAGAGCCAGAGGATTTCTGGGGCCAAATGCCTTACAGAAAATTCTAATTACTACCCCCATCTTTACTCACCTGCCTCCAGCTCTTCCCTTTGCAGCCGTTCTGGAAGATGTGCAAGAATTGGCTGGTTTCCTGTTGGCCTCTCCCCTTATAGGCGTGGGTTTCAGCTTTCCGGGTTTGCCAAATTATTTACCACGTTTTCATCCACTTTTCAGAGTCTAGTATTGTGCTAACAACTCATGTTGGTTGTTCCGTCTTCTCCTGACCTTTTAGTACTTGTGAGTTTGTGCCTTTTTATTTTGTGTGATTTAAGTGCACCTTCTGTGAGAGTGGAGGTAAGCACATATTAGTTCTGCATGTTTCATGGGAGGTTTCTTTCATTACTTTTTTTTTTAACTTTTAAGTATTGATTACCTTTGTTTTCTTTTAAAGATCTTATTTATTTATTTATTTGAGAGAGCACACAAGCCGGGGAGCGGGGAGGGGGGCAGAGGGAGAGGGAAAAAGGGAAGCAGGCTCTCTGCCAAGCAGGGAGCCCAATGCAGGGCTCGATCCCAGGACCCCAGGATCATGACCTGAGCTGAAGGCAGACGCTTCACTGACTAAGCCACCCAGGTCCCCTGCCTTCGTTTTTTTTTAAGTTGAGTATAATTCACATAACATAAACTCCACACTTTTAAAGCATACATTTTAGCAGTTTCTAGTATATTCACAAAGGTGTGCAGCTGTCACCACAGTCTAACTACAGACTAGGACATTTCATCGGCCCAAAGGAAGCCCCATGCACGTCACTAGTCACATCACTAACCCCGTTCACCTTTCCTCAGCCCTGGGGTCCATGAGTCTACTTCCTGTCTCTGTGGATTCACCTCTCCGTGCATCTCATCTACATGGGACCACACAGTGTGTGGCTTTCTGTGTCTGGCTTCTCTCACTCAGCATCAGTGTTTCCCAGGTTCATCCATGTTGCATTTTGAAGGCTCATTCCTTTTTCATGTGGCCAAATCATATTCCATTGTGTGGATAGACCACATTTTGTCTGTCCCTTCATTAAGTGATAGGCATTTGGGTTTTTCCACTCGTTGGCTGCTATGAATATTGCTGCCATGAACATTCATGTGCAAGTTTTTGTGGAACATATGTCTTCATTTCTCATGTGTAGACCCTTAGGAGTGGAATTGCTAAGTCATAAGGTAACTCTATGTTTAACTTTTTGACAAACTGCAAGACTGTTTAACAGAATGGCTATGCAATTTTGTATTTCCACCAGCAGTGTACGAGGGTTCCAGTTTCTCCACATCCTGGCTGACACTTGTAATTTTCTGTTTTTCTTCTCCTGTCTCCTTCTTCCCCTCCTCCTCATTATTTTCAATATCACAGTTGCTACTATTATTACTATTATTGCCATCCTAAGTGGGTGCAAAGTGGTATCTCATTGTGGTTTTCATTTGCATTGTTCTAATGACTAATGATGTTGAGCATCTTTTTCATGTGCTTTAGCCATTTGCCCATCTTCTTTGGAGAAATACGTATTCAAATCTTTTGCACATTTAAAATTTTTTTTTATTATTGAGTTGCAGGAGTTCTCTATGTGGTCTGGATATTAATCCCTTCTCAGGGATTAATACATGATTTGCAAGTGTTTTCTCCTATTCTGCTGGTTGTATTTTCTCTCTCTTGTTAGTGCTCTTTGATGCACAGAAGTTCTTAATTTTGATGAAGTCTACTTTATGTGTTTTGCTGTTGTTGCCTGTGCTTTTTGGTGCTGTATCCATGAAATCCTCATTGCCAAATCCAATGTCATAATGATTTTTCCCAATGTTTTCTATAAGCGTTTGTAGTCTTAGCTCCTAAGTCTAGGTCTTTGGTCCTTTTTGACTTAATGTTTGTATGTGTTGTAAGGTTCACTTTGCATGTGGATGTCCAGTTTTCCCAGCGCCATATGTTGCAAAGACTATTCTTTCCCCCATTGAATTGTCATGGCATCCCTCTTTAAAATACTTCCAGTGCTTTCTGATGAATTCCCACTGACTGACCTTAAGACCCAGCTCAACAGCTTTGGCCTCTCTGGTCCTCCAGTCAGTAACACATTCATCCTTTTCCTGCACTCGTGTGTGACTATCATCCCAACCGAGGCACTGTTTACCCATATGAAAGATGGAGGGTCTTACTCAACAGTACCTTTCCTGGAATTTCCTTGAATTTAGTGTTTTCCAATTAGTTTCACTTTGAATCACAATGTATTACACGGACAAGACATTTTAGCTTGGAACAAAGCCAGTCAGTGCTGTGGTTTATTGACTAAAATGGTTACCTGAGTGACTTGGAGAAAAGCAAAGACATTGGACATAGGTTTCTAATTATTTTTGGTGCCATGACCTCACAATTCCAAGTGTTGGATGCTGTCGTAGATGAGCCTTTTAAGGTGTCTGTAACCATAATTCACGGGGAGATCATAAATACACGCTTACAGAGTAGAATTATAACACAGTAAAAAGGATAATGTATGAAAACAGGTACTTGTGACCAGGGATTAAATTTCCAGTTTGCACAACCAATGTGAATTCAAGAAGTAAAACATCAGGAAACTTAGATCCAGGCAAAACTGACACTCTCTGGAAAAACACCAGGCAGCATGGAAAGCAGGTCTGCCCGGATGAGAGTGTACGCCAAGACATGGGGTGGGGTATGATGGATGGCGTGGTTACCTTTCCTGCCGGAGTGGCAAACCAGCAATGCATTTGAGTTAATATGTAACTTCATGACTGTTACTCTTAAATTAGTGGAGGGGTAGGGAGAGGGAGAGAATGGGACTAAATATTGTCAGTAGCAGGTTGACTGTTCATTTACATTCTCAAAAGTTGATATAGTTTCATCAAAAAACTTCTTTTGGACTTCTCATTTATGAAATGGAAGCCTTCTCATGTTTAGAGCTGCCTCATTTGGGGCATATTGGGCAGTATTCCCAGGACAAGTTCTCCCTGGCATTTCGTCTCCATATCCTGCACGTGCCTCATACATGAATGCTTAAGACATGTCTACTTCTCTGTCGAATGCAAGAAACAGTTCTGCGGGAGCTCAGTCCTAATGGACAAGGTCATGAACGTGCACACTCACATACCCTGTGTTCTGTTTTAGGTAGGTGAGCCGTGGGACAAAGTCAGCCCTGTCAGTCACCACTTCCAGCTATGATGCTCTAAGTCACAATAAGTCTGAACACTTGCTGTCTATGGATCTGCTCTGACTCTTAGAGCCTGCTTATGGGGGAAGGTGAGTGACTGTAAATACCTTTTGTTTGCTTGTCTGTTTACCAGGAATGTAGGTAACAAAGTCAGCCTGAGAACAATGAGGCAATATGTGTTTGACCCTCTTCTGTCCATGATGTGGTATCACTGGGGCGCAGTGCCAGGACATGGACGCCGGGCATGATCATGTAGGAGTAGCTTTCCGGGCTGGCTCTAGAGTTGAGGTGGAGTTTGAAGAAGCAGGTCTAAGCTGAGACAGAACGTTTATCCATGGCTTTTTCCCTTGAATGTTTGAGGAGGATGGGAACCCTTAGAACTGTTTTCCCTAAATATTCCCTGCTTTTACCCCTTCTGGCCCTCCTCCCACCATTTTCTAAAGAATGCTGGGTGAGGACTCTGAAGAGCTGGGTCTGTTGTCACCTTGTTTGTTGGGCCCTCCATAAATGAGTGCCAGCCTGCTATCCTGGCCCTCCCGACAGTCCTCCCGTGTGTGCAACGGTGCAGCATCGTGTGTGTGGGTGTGCTGGGAAGGAGCGTACACGTACAGATGTAGGAGCATGCGTGTGCATGGGTCCAGGATCATGCGTGGCCAGCGTGTGTGTGCGTGCATATAGGAGCACGTGTGCAGAGTGGGGGGGTGTGCACGTGTGCAGAGCGGGGGGGGGTGCACGTGTGCAGAGCGTGTGTGTTCTGTGCGCTCCAGGACCCTGAGGTCCAGACTCTCTCCCCGAGCCTGCAGAACCCACTTCCTCTGGCCTCAGATTGAGACCTTGAGTTCCTTCCATGGCGCACACGCCTTGCTCATTCCCAGGCCGGTTGTAGTTTACTCATCTGTGTCTTTATGTTGCACAGGCTTTGCTCAGGCCTCGAGAATACATTCTAGGGTGCTTTACTCACCCGGAGACACGAAGGTAGCCATTGAGAACGTTTAAGCCGTGTAGTTCATCAATCCAGATTCACAACACAAATATTATATAGGTTCTGAGTTAACATACCCCCCAGGTGGCTGTCAAAGAAACGTGCATCTTTTAAAAGTCACAGAACTTAATAATAAGGGACACTGGGCTCCTCACTGCCTTTCCAGATATTTTCATTGTTCTCAGGAGCAGCTTCTCTTCTGCCCGCATATTGTCTGTCTGGGTTTGTTTGTTTGTTAATTGCAGCTCAAAATTTTAATCCTATGGTGCTTGACCCAGTTCCGTAAGCCTGTGGCCTGTGTTGTTTTGCTCTTTTCTTTGTTCTTCCCATTGAGGATGGTTAAAACCATCTCAACTTCCAGGTGTCTATTTGGGCTGAATGTCCATGACTGGTCACAGTGGACTTGAACTCAGCTGGATTTGGATGGGAGCCAAATGGGAAGGCTCCTTTGTCATGACTGGCATGTCCCAGGCTGTGGTCAAGAGTGAGGCCAGCTATGTAAACCAGAGCCAGGGCTGACCGGGGTTCTTCAGGCCCCCCTGGAGCCCAGGCCCGGCTGCGGCTCACCAAAGCTGGGAGCCGAGGGGACCCCACACAGGGCTTTCTGCCTCTTTTCCAGTCCAGGCGGATGCCTGCTGGGGAGCCCTGCACTGCTCGTCAGCCTGCCCTCTTCCTGGCTGCATTTGCCAGGTACCCATGTGCTCAATGGTCTGGGCATCTAACCCCATGTCGGGCATGGGACATGGCTGCAGAAGCAATGGGTGGAACCCATGAGAGCAGGAAACCCACAGCCATCCAGGAGGTGACTGGCCACTGAGCCTGACATGCATCCCGATGACCCTGAAGCCCCTGAGTGCCCCCAGCTGGCCAACCCCTGGGTGATGTGGTGCTTGCAGGAGGGGATCCCCCCACCCCATTTGCAATGCGCCCTCTACCCTGAAACTGCCCAAGGTCACATCCTCAGTTCTCACCTGGCCTGGTTTCTCTTGGCTGCCCCTGACACCCAGGGTGCCCCCGTCCCTTGATTTCTCTGGACCTCCAGGCTGCACCCCCTCTTCTCTTATGTGGCCCCCACACCCTCAGCCACTACCCTTTGGCTTGTGACTCTGGTCCTTCATGTCCCTCCTTCGTACCACTTCCTTTCCGTCTAGGCTCTCTCTGCTTCCCACCTGCACAGAACAGGCTGGCGTGCCCCGGGCAGTTCATCTGCTTGTGGTAACCCCCTGGATGGCTAGCCTCGCTGTCACCACTTGCTTACCTTGCACCAGACCTGCCTGTCGAGGGCCGAGGCCTGTGCTGGCCAGACCCACCAGCCAGTGTCCGGTCCTCCCCAGGCCCTCAGCTGCACTTGATGCTGTCGGCCGCCCCGTGGGCAAGAGCCAGGTTTCCATGGCCCGAGCTTTATGACCCGGAGCAAGCCATGCTGCTCCTTCCCTCATCTGTCCGAGAGTGAGGACGGATCCTCCACAGACACCTGCTGCAAGGTGGGAAGTAGCCGCCGGGGCCAGACACACGGCAGGGCTGTCTGCGGGCCGGCTCGCAGCACCCTCCTGCTTGCTTGGCCACTAGCGGCTGACATCCCCGGGACTCAGGGCTCAGTCGGGCACTGAGGACAGAGCTGCCCAGGCTGCGGGGCGCCCAGGGAGCAGCCCTCATCACGCAGTGTCACTGACTGAGCCAGTTTGTCACTTTGTGCCGAGCTTCAAGCACGTGTATCCTTCCACCCAGGAATGATATCTGTAAATATGTACTCTGAGGGAACAAGAGAGGGGCAGGAAGAGGTCCACCCAAAGAGGACTGTGGAAACATTCTTTGATATAACCACTCAGGGCGCCTGGCTGGCTCCGTCAGTAAAGCGTCTGCCTTCGGCTCAGGTCATGATCCCGGGGTCCTGGGATCGAGTCCCGCATCGGGCCCCCTGCTCAGCGGGGAGCCTGCTTCTCCCTCTCTCTCTGCCCCCTCCCCTGGCTCATGCTCTCTCTCTCAAATAAATAAAATCTTTAAAATATATATAACAAATCAAAAATCTGGAAATACAAGCATTACAGATTGGTTACATTTTTCTACATAAAAATGCATAAAATTTTATGCATAAGAATAGAAAAATACCATGGAGAATTTGATCATTGTTATGTAGATTTAAATATGTTGACATAGAAAAATATTTCATAAGTAATGCTAAATGAGAAAAACAGGACAAATGTGGGCGGTTTGGTCCTAGTTTTGTTAAAAAATATAATGACACACACCTCTTAGTCTGACTAGGTGGACCTCAAAATACCCCACTATCACTGGTGGTCTTTCTGAGTAATGATATTACAGGTTATTTTTTGCATAAATGCACTTTTTTTTTCTGTAATGAGCATCCAATATTTGTGCTATTTTAAATTTTTTCCTGTAATGAACAATCAGGCTGACTTTGGTCAGTAGGGCCTGCATGCCCCCACTTTCTGTGCCCCTTTGCTGACTCCAGAAAGCCAGAGCCTGTCCTCACGGGCAGCGATTCTTCTCTGCATCCAAGTTTTCACCTCTGCCTGTTACGGGTTTTATCGTTTGTCTGCATCTGATTTCATGTGAGCTGATGACCTAACGGTGCCAGGTAGAAGGTGGACTGAGGGCGACTTTCTCCTGCTCGGTGGCAGACGTGCCTTTCCCACCACCTCTCACGGGGCCCCGTCAGCCCTCCGGTCAGCACTGCCCACACCAGAGCCCTGCATCAGGATGGCTCTCAAGGACACACAGTGCTCACGCGTTTCTGAGCTTAAGTATGCGGTTTGCTTCTAGGCCTGGACCTAGCAGCTCTAGATCACCAAAAAAAAAAGAGGAAAGGAGAGAATTTGCAATTGGTGCTGCTTCAAGTGCCTCATCCTGCAGCTTCAGGACCAAGTACATCAACAGGACCAGCTTTGTGTGAGGCCCGACCGCACAGACAGCTGACAGCAGCAGTGACCGCTCAGGCCCTAGGAGCTGCGTTTCCATCACTGGGGCCCACCCGCACTTTCCTTTCCGAGGGCTGAGCTGCCGTGGCCCGTGTCCTGCAGGCATGCCCATGTGTGCGCTGGCCCCTGTTTGGGGGAAGGAGTCATTGAAATGACAGCACATCCGTGCCGGGTGCACCCCTCCAACGGAATGAGGGGAGCTGGGCGAAAAGTAGGTCACATGTGCCCGGTCCCATGTCACGAGGTTTCCAACCTGAGGCCAATGGGATTCGTAGCCTCCTTTGGTTAGGACAAAACCCACTCTGATTTTTCTCCTTTAGCATTCCATCTTCTCTAGACAAGGAGGGTGGCCATCTGTCTGGTAGCCGCATCCAGCCAGCCCTTCCCGACCTCCCAGAGCCGCTTTGTTCTGAGGTAAGGGGTACTGGGGCTGGGGGAGGCTGCTCTGGCCAGGAGAACAGGCTGTGTGTCGAGCAGGGTGCACACAGGTCCTCGGGAGCTGTTAGCAGGCCCTGCTGAGGCAGGCACAGCTCTTTCCCTGTGACATTCAGAGGAAGATCCTCACTTTAGGTTCTATTTTAATATGGCTCCTTTGTAGGGATCACGGTCAACTGTTACCACTCTCATGTTAAAGTGTTAGTGTGTAGAAAAGGGAGCGTGCAGTCTTACAGCTGTCCATTGGTGACACTGGGGGGAGGGGTGGGAACAGGGCTCCCCCTAAGACACACTGGCCACCCCGCGGTCCGGGGCCCTGTGCTCTCAGTGCGGCCAGCGCCTTTGTGTGGGTCGTCAGCCTCTGCGCCGAACAGGTGAGCTCCTGGCTTCCATTGGTACAGAAGCACCGTGGAATCCACGTATCAGAGCCAGGTTAGTACACGTATGGTATTTGCACTATCGGAGCTTGTTACTTCTACTGAGAAATAACGTGGTTCTCTTATGTATGGGAAGACCAGCAAATGTGATTCCTCCATGACCAAGCAGATGCGGAATTGTATAAATAACAAACATTGATTGATTGATTTTGCTGTCCCGTAAATGAACTAAGATACCCGTTAGCTCCGGATCCTTCTGACAGACCTGTTCTGGCAGGTAATGAATGGGCTATAAAATGTTTGCAATGTTTGTACGATGGGCACCTTTAGACAAAGAGGCGCTCCTCTCTGGGTGTGCCGGGGGAGGGTGCCTCCAGAATAGTCTTCCAGAAGCGAAGTCATAATGGTATTTGATTGGAGGATGTTCTACAGAAGAAAAGCTTTTTGCCTTTCTGAGATAAAATATTTAAAATTTGTATTTTAAGTAGCTTTCTAGGAAACACGGGCCCACGGCTATGTTCACAGAAGTAGGTGTAAACACATGTGGGTTACGAATTACTTGACGTTTTAGATGTAAAACAGCAGTTGTACCCATGGTAGCAAAAGAAGGGTGCTCCCCATCCCCTTCCACCTGCAGCCTCTGAGCGAATCGCATGTAATATTTCTAAAAGGCTCTTACCCATTTTACAGTCTGGAAGAAAGAGAGGTTTTTTCTGCTTTTTCATTAAGATAGGGCAGAAAATTCCAAAGTTGTTATTATTTGTGGTTATAAACGCTTCTGTTATGTCTGCGGAAAGCCGCACATACTTCGGTGCCGTGTTTAACAGCTCGTTTTCCTACCTTGCCTAGCGTGCATCCCCAAGGCCAGGATAACGTGCACATACGGTCATCCTGGGTGCGAGCAAGAGTAAGACATGCGAGAATGACAAGCATGTGTGTTCATGTGAAATTATACAATCATAACCCCCCCCCCTCAGTTTGTTGCCGTTGGGGGAAAATGAGAACTGTTGTCTCGAGAAATAAAACCAGCATTCCGTCAAGTGTTATAGGATGTTTATTTTCCCTTACTTACCGGAGGAGTAGATAATTTTTTTTCCCCAGAAATAGCATAGGTATAACATTGCAGAGGCAATGGCTACGTCCCTTCATACTTCTCAAAAGAGTGTCCTAACACAAAGCAAGAGGGTGCAGAGCTCTGAACTCGTCCCCGAAGTCCCGCACTGTACACGGCCTTCTCTTTCCTGCCCACCCGGGCAGAGAACACACAGCGGGCAAGGGGATGTCTCTGAACAGCACACTCAGCGCTTTGGCATTGACTCACCTGGGAACTGAAAGGGCCACGCTGGTGCTGGGCCTGGCCGGCTGGCCTGCCGTACTCGGCTTGCCCGGGGCGTGTGCCGTCTCTGTGAGGCCCCGGCTCTGCATAAGAAGGCAGACGCCCACCACCAAGAAGCAAGGAAGCCTCAGGAAGATTTGGGGTCCCGCACGCCCCACAGCTGGAGCCTCTGAAAGACATCTTCGTTCTGGCTGAGGTCGGGGCTTGGGCAGAGCTGGTGTGTGTGGGTGCCTGTTGGGAGAGCCCTGGGTTGCCTTCTCCCTGAGCACCGGCTGCGTGCAGGTCAGTGGTTCTCGGAGAGGGTCGTAGACCGCCATCACCATCACCCGAGAACTCTCTGGGAGAGGCAGGTTCTCAGCTACCCCCGGCCACCTGTCAGAACCCTGGGTGAGCCCGGTCAGTGATTTGTCAAAACTTCCGGTGATGCTGACGTCCATGTAGGTGTGGGAGCCACCGGGGCCGACCACACAGGAGCGAAGTGTGGATGGTGGTCACACACGACCCGGCAGTGAGCGTGTGGTCCGTGGATGCAGCCAGATCGGAGGCGACCGTGTCCTAGCTGAGCACGAGTCAGGCTCCAGAGCACAGGGGTCCAGTGATCTGTCGGGTCAGATGGGAACCAGACCCACCTGTGGGGAGCCCCTCGGTGTGGTTCCGTGTTTTATATGGTGGGCGACCCTGGTGTGCAGGTCAGGCCTTCCCGTGCTGGAGTCTTACAGCCTGTCCTGCCTCTGCCTTTGCTGTGCAGCAGACCCCCCTACCCAGCAGTGCTCCATCTGCCCCGCTGCTGAGCAGAGACCCCTGGAAAAGCAGGAAAGGGACCCTCGCCTGGGAAGGGGGTGAGCTTGGGCAGTCTGCTGGCTGGCCAGGGGACCCCAGGAGTCACTGTGCTGTCCAGCATCTCTGGGGTGCTGGCTGTGGGCAGGGGACGAGCCCCAGAGAGACGGGACCGCCAGCTCCTAAGCCAGCTGTGCACATCCTCTCCCGGCCTGGGGCCCCTCCCCTGAGCAGGCAGCCCCCACGCGAGCGGGTGTGGGGGGGGAGGGGCAGCATTAAAAACATCCAGAACCCAAGAGGGAAAAGAAGACGCATCTGTGTAAAAAGCATACTACTGGGTGCAGGAGATGGAATTCCCGGGTGGGGGACAGAGCTGCAGGGAGGTGGGCTTGCTTTGTTTTAGTGTAAGTGGCATTTGAATCAATAGGAATGCGTAGACTAGTCAATAAATGCTGTTGGGTTAATTGGGTAGCTATTTAAAAAACACCAAATTTAGACTTTACCTGACACCCAGCACAAGTGTATTTGAGAGGGAGTAACAAGCTAAAGGTAACAAAACTACAGAAGATTCATAGAAAATTTATGTCGGGCTTTTTAAAACAGTCTTTTCTGGGGAAGGGCATCCTCAGCAAGGCACACATGGCGTTAGGCGCCGACGGAGGGACCAAGCTCACACACCTGCACGGAACGGCCGGCCAGGGCCCAGGAGCAGCTCAGTAAAGGTGATTGCTCAGGATGGGAGCAGCAGCCGCCGAGCAGTGACCGTGCAGTTCTTATGAAACGCAGACCGGGCCCACACTGAGCGCCTGGGATGGCAGCGTCCCGAGGAGGCCCGCCTGGAGGGCAGTGAGGTCTGTGCCGGCCGCGCCAGGCAGGCGTCTATGCAGACAGACCCCGCAGCTTTCCCTCCAGGAGTCCGTCTCCCTGCAGAGGTGTGCGCAGTGTTCAGGAGGTGCCTGCTGTCAGGACGGCGGGAGCTGTGAAGCTGGGAAAGTGAATGGACTGTCCTGCATGGAGACCTTGGGGGAGGACGGCCAGGCCCCCGGCAGGGCCCATGTCTCCACACAGACGTGTGCACGATGCACCGACTTTGTTCCTCAGCCCCAAACTGGAGAAGGGCCAGCACAAGTGCCCATGTTCACGCCCGGAGTCCCAGAGAGAACCCGACTGCCACTCACAGCACACGGACGGCTCTCGGGAACATGGCTCTGTGTGAGGGACGCCGCACACAAGAGCGTGGGGATTGTTGGGGTTGCAGAACAGGGCAGGCACCGCGGGGACGGCAGCCAGCAGGGCTGGGTGGGCTGGTGGGGTCGCAGCACTGGGCCAGAGGCATCTCTCCACAGGTCTGGAATGTTCCGTGCCGAGAACTGCTGGTCAGATGGGTGAGTGCAACGTGTGAAAATCAACCTGTGCCTTTTCATGCCTGTGAATTACACCCAGTCACAGGGCACACATCGTGTGATATTTACGCACAACAAAAAGGCAGTGTGTGAATGCAAATGCTAAGGGGAGGGTCAGGTGAGAGCGTCCCCCTCGGTGGGTGGGGTGTTCAGGGTGCTCTGTTTCCCCGTCTGCCTGTCTCCGAGCCCCTGGGGCCCGCTCTCTCATGCCCACTCACACCTTACCTGGACCAGCTCTGCTTGTTTGCCTTCTTATTTTGTTCTTTTTACTGGTTTTGAAAAGAGGTCTGCTGCTTTATAATCAAATCTTTAAAAAGCCACTGGCCCTGGTGACCGAGAGATGTGTATCTTTGACCTTCGCGTCTGTTCCTGAGCTCCTCCCTCAGGCTGGGTGGGGGGAGGAGGGAGGACGCAGGGCTGGGAGGCATTCCTGCTGACCTGTCCCCGGGCAACACCAGCGCCCCCTCCCCCTCCCTGTCCCCTGACCCCCAGGTGTGCAGAGACCGTGGCTGAGCGGGAAGGAAGCTGGGGCCGTGTGTCCTGCCAGGGGGCCCGTGGGGGCCGGGTCAGCCCTGTCGGCCAGCTCAGAACCTCCCCTGCATCAGGTGACAGGCTCTGCTCTAGCAGAGTCCCTGCTTCCGAGCTCGTGGGACACAGACCCAAGACTCTGGGCGGCCCGCCCCGCTTGCTCCATCAGGTTCACCTGTGCACAGATTTATAAATCTGCCCTTGAGTGTTGACAAGGGGGAAAGGGCAGAGGTCGCCCGTGTGCCCATCTTTCTCTGACACACCCTGAAATGATAAACAGTCAAAGCCGCAGGCTGCTGCAGGTTTGCAGGATTAAGGGGCCATCAGGGATTGAAGTCAGGGGATTAGAGCTCATCAGGAGCATCAGCTGGGGGAAGGGGTGCCCGTGGTCAGTGAGGTCAGTGACTCGGGAGGTTGTGGCCTCACAGCCCCCCCTTCCACTGCTGAAGCCGCCCCCGGCCCCTACACCAGGCCACGACCACTCAGGTGCCCAGGGGCATTGCAGCTGTTCCCCCCACCGCCCAGGGT